CCCCCCCCCCCCTCCTCAAGCCATAGAGCCATGAATAAACTAAAATAATATTAACAAATATGGAAATTAAAAAAACTACATATAACCCGGTAAGGGTTCATCATATTTTAATCACATTGCACTATAATAATAATAATAATAATAATAAATTTATTACGCAACTTAACCATCGGTAGATTTAGTAAGGTGAAAATGATAACAAAGGCAAATAAAATAAGGCAAACTAAAACACTAAAATTAATTAATGTAATTTGTAGTTTAGATAGATTGCTACTTTTCACATGTGTGCATATTTTAGCACACATAGTAGAGACAATATTTCATTACAACATCTGTCTACAATTAATCATTCTAGTATCACAGTAGTTAACAGTGTGTGAATTTTGGTTTTCACACGATGAAAACTTATTTCCTCCTAAAAAAAACACTAAAAATTTTGTCAATTTTTTAATACTTGAAAACATCAAATAGTACTGTAAAATACTTTATTTTAGCTGGAATTAATATTTGCTGTCTGGAATTTATTTTCACTGATTTTTGACTAGTTGAATGTACAATATACAGAAAAAGATATATTCGCTGGTAATTATTTTCACTGAATCTTTTCTTCAACGAAAATAGGGAAAATTAAATCCAAACGAAAATAAAGTATTTTACAGTACCTTGTTGTAAGACACTATACATTTGCATGTATTTCAATGGCAAACAGACAAGTTGTAATCATTGAAGATATCTCTGTCTTCATATACTAACCTGAGAGAAGACACATCCCTCTTGGTACAATGTAAAATACTAAACATTTGACCAGTGAGCGCTCAGCGTGGGTTATTTTGTCAAGTTCAAACAAAGGCTATTTAGACAACTTTGTATTAAGTTGCTTGCTACATCTTTACCATACCAGTCTGTGTTTACCTTACATTTTAAAATACTTCTTGATAATTATCGTCAAAAGTTACAACTAAAAGTTGATTTTAAAAAGAGCAAAGTGATGATTTTTAATGGGTCAGTTAAAAATCTTGAGAATGAATTTCAGTTTTACCTGAATGTAACACCAATAGACAACCGCAGATATATCGGGAATTTTTCATGTGAATATATTCAAGGGCTCAAATTTTGTGAGTATTATAAATAGGTATTTTTTCAATTCAATTCTCAGTTCAAGCCCTGTGAATATATAATTTGACTCCGTCTCATGTGAGACTTGAAAAATGCCCTGACAGTCTATGTTTGACTTGCAGCTTTTTTGGCATTTAGAAAAAGAAAGTATACATATCTGTTTTAGTATGAGTTACACTGTAATAAAATACACCAATACGATCTAAGTAAAATATTCTGATCTGGATATAAAACAATATCTTGATTGGATATTCTGTAAAACATGTATTTTTAGCTAACCTATTATTTCAGCTAATTTAGCTAATCTGTAATTTCGCTAATTCAAGATGTCACTAATTTAAAATAAAGTATATTTTCACAGTGAGATTATTGGCACTTTAGCTAAATGAAGATTCAATAATTCATGCATGGAGTCAAATTTGGTAAAATGGAGTATAGCTATTTAAACATGTTTTACAGTATATCTCAATTAGGAAATACATATATCTGGATTGAGATATATATTTCATCTGACGGTTAGTTCTGACTGCATGAATCATAGGTATCATTGTTTTCATCTTTTTCACATTTACAGATCTTGGAATTCATATCATTGCCATCATTGGTTATTTCATTCATTATCATAAGATTTATCTATTATCATTCCATTATCATGGCAACAACAGCTTCTTTGACCACTCTTAGAGATGATAATGCTGATTACATTGAGGTGATATTATTTTTTCATTCTATTCATTTTTACTACGAAAAATGGACTTTATGCTGTTCATTGCTGTAAGACCATCTGTTACTCTGAAGTCAGCAAAGGCATGTTTATTATTATAAATATACAATTTCATAATAACAATTTTCATTTGAAATCAGACTCGTTCAAATCTAAATGAGATGACTGGATTGGCTGAGCAGATGTCGCTGCTCATATTGAAGTACCGTAAAAACTGTATTAGAAGCCCATTCCTTATACTGGTAGTAGTCGCACCAAATGTAGAATACTTTATTTTCGCTTGGAATTTATTTTTCACTGAAGGAATGCTTAAGTGAAAATAAAATCCAGCGAATATACTTTTTTTCCTATATTTCAAATTCAACTCATCAAAAATCAGTGAAAACAAATTCCATACAAAAAAAACCCAAAAGCCTTTTCAGCGAAAATTAATTCCAGCTAAAATAAAGTAATTTACAGTATTCTATTTGAATAATTGAGAACGAAAAAATCACAATTCGTCATTTATG